CTTTGAGGTGTGACAATACTAGTGCAATAAATTTGACCAAGAATCCTGTGTTGCACTCAAGAACAAAACATATTGAGATAAGACACCACTTTTTGAGAGATCATGTTCAAAGGAATGATTGTGTTGTAGAGTTTGTGGAAACAAGCAAGCAATTAGCTGATATTTTTACAAAACCTCTACCAAGGGAAAGATTCAATCATTATAAATTTAATCTTTAGTTATATTATATTAAGGGGGGTGTATTGGATTAGGATTTTAAAGGACTTTTTTAGTTTAAAAAAATCCTGCGGGTTTTAAAAGACTTTGCAGGATTTTCATGACTTTTAAGATTTTGCAGGATTCTACAAGACTTAAAATCAGGATTTTAATGGATTCTGCAAGACTTTTAAATCAGGATTTTAATGGATTCTGTGAGATTTTATGGAGTTTTGACATTTGATAAGATTTTTTTAAAAAAATCATACATTTAAATTTAAAACCAAGTCTTGCAACCAAGTTAGTCTACAAGTTGATCATACAAAAAAAAAACACAATTCTTCATGGGGTATAAGGAATGATCAATAAACATTCTAACATGGGAAGCACTTAAGTTATTTCAAAGCCACCAATGAACAAGCAAATATTTCCTACTAGCTCCAATGATCAATGATTTCACACTTTGGATAAAGAACACATATTCACTTAGGCATTTGATCAAGCAATTGATGGACATGATAAGGAGAAACAACATCCATGTGAATTCTTGCCATGCAAGGCTCAAAATTCTTCACAAAATGGAACATTTCAGTGACCACCTTTTTCAAAGCTTTCATTATGTTCAAATCAAATACTTTTCTCATTCAGGCATTTCTTCGAACACACAACAGGCAGAAAATGAGAAGGATCATGTATGTGCAATATTGAAGAATCAAACACCCAAATTCAAGCATTACATTCCACAAGTGAACTACATCACAACTGATGCCATCATCATCCTTTAAAGAACTCAAAAAAAATAACAAAATCATGCTTAAGGTTCCAAAAAGTTGAAGTGAGCAAGCAAAGGTTTCATGCATTACACACGGAAGTTAGAAAGATGAAGATTGTACCTTGTAATGCTAATAAAAATGTATCCTTTCGTGTTCATGTGCAAAATGGATGATGAAGAACAAAGGATTTATGGAGATTATGAAGAGAAGAGATGAAACGTGAGGAGGTTAATGAGTTTCGTGAGTGGGAGAGGAAGAGAAACGAAGAAGTGGATAGAAGGGTTCAGTTTTAAAACTGACCCAAAATGCTTAAAACCTCTTATTTATCAACATTTTGCCTATCCGCTTATGCGCCAAAGCCACCGCTGGAGCAGTGAGTGAGTTTAAATTAGGAAAAATGGATCTAGAGGGTTGGCGCTATGGCTGTGACGCCAGTGCTGCAGCGCCAAAAACCAAATTAACAAAAGTGAACTCCAGAAAGTTGGCGCTTTAGCCGTGATAACAGCACTTCAGCGGTAAGACCTTTCTCACAAAATGGGTTCTAGGGAGTTGGCGCTTTGGCTGCGAATTGTGGCACTGCAGCTCTGGAAATGGTTATACAATTTGATCAACCCGAGAATTGGCGCCTAGGCGCTGGGACTAGCGCTTGAGCGCTGAGATTTTTTTCCATGTGAGAGACCATTGCAGAAATTTGGCGCTATGGCCATGGAATTGACACTGCAACGCCAATACTTAAAATTTGATTTCTTAGTTAGAAATCACTGCTACCCAGATTCCCAATGATTTTTCATGATTTAAGGGAATAGCAAAATTCCTTGAAGCACATGAGCAAGCTATTAAAATCATGTTCACACAACATACATTCAATTGGAACTCTTTCTTGAACTTCCTAATTAAACCAATACCTCACAATTCTCAAAACTGCTCTAGCCAATGTGAGTCACAAAGATATTTCAACAGAATGTGCAGCCAACATGATCAAGGAACTCAAAATTTTACAAAATATTATAATCATTGAAACACATCAAAACAAGCTTTTACTTCCTAAGAGATATGACTTAAAGCACCCACTTGAAACATGAACTTGAAACTTTAAACCTTCCTATTATTACACACTATTGAAACTGCACACACAAAGCAAAGGATGAAGAAATGGAGTTGATCTTCGTTCCCAAAGGATCCAGCTTCCAAGTCTCTGTTCTTCCTTCGTTCTTCCTTCTTCACAAGCTTTTCCCCTATTTTTATCTGTTAAATTCGTGCTCCATATGTCTCCTGTTTTTCCCCCTTATATTGGCTTCAAAACAAGACCAAAAAGTAACTTTTATTTCCACGACTGCAGCTGCAGATCCACGGCTATAGCTGTGGAGAGTCCTTCAGGGTAAAGAAACCTCCAAGGTTGCAGCTGTGGGTTCACAGCTATAGCTGTGACAACTCCTTCAATCTTAAGGAACTTCCAACGCTCAAGCGGTGCAGCCACAGCTATGGCTGTGAGTCTCTGGAGTTGGTGTTGGGTCCTGGGTGCTTCCATGGCTTTAGCTGGAAATCCAAAGCTTTAGCTTCAACTCTCTGGAGCTTCAAATTGCATTTCAGATTTCCACAGCTATAGCTGCAGATCCACAGCTATAGCTCCAACTTTCTAGACCTCTATATCCTTCCCAGATTTCCACAGCTCGAGCTCCAGATTCACAGCTATAGCTTCAAGTCTCTGGAACCAAAAATGAGCATTCCAGATTTCCACAGCTATAGCTGCAGAACCACAGCTATAGCTGCAAGTTTCTGGTCTTCAAAATTTCTCCCCAGATTTCCACAGCTATAGCTCCAAAACCACAGCTATGGCTGTGGAAATCTGTCTTCTCAATTTTCCTACAAAAAATGGAGAGAAAACATTAGGATTTTGCTACTACTCTTCTACCCTTTTAGTATATTTTGATTCTTCTAATTTAGGGGCAAAATAACATATATAAATATTTACAAATACCAAAAAGAGTACCAAAAGTTGAGTGTAAATCATACATAAAAGACACTCAACAAACTGCCGTTTTAAAATATTTGTCTCTCAAACTAATTCAACAAGAAGCTTCACGTGTGGTTCATCTTCATCATCTTCAATATATTTCAGCATTGATAAATTAAATATTATAAAACAGGATGAGTGTGCCGGAAGCCCGAGCGGTGTTGGCATGGCATGGTAGGCGCTGATTATTACAGAGTTTTAAAGAGATGACGGAGTTAGTTAAGGCAGATATCACGATCAGTTTGAGTGTGCTTCGTTAAGAGAAAAAAGTTTTTCAAGAAGCTTCCTTTGTGCGGCTTGAGTTCATTATCTCATGATCTCCATCCTCCAACCCACTTATTCTTCTTATTTTGGGTAACCATTTATGTAGGAGGCTATAACAATTACACTTATCATTAAGAGCTACAAGAAAATAAAATAAAAACCAAGATATTTTTATCCATGTCTTCTTCAAAAATTTAAGGAAGTAAATTTTTATAATTAAATAACTACCACTATAACCATTCGCGATCACAATTGATGCACTATGGAACAGAAGAAACGAAGTTGTGTTTCAGCAGTCGTCCTTATCGGCAAGCCAACTAGTACTCAAGGTAACGAACTGTGCAAATTCTATAATCAACAGTAGCACTCCATTTGATGCAGGAGCCCAGTCAGATTACACACTTATCACAAGGAACTGGGTTTGTCCTCCTTCGGGGTTTATCAAGTTAAATGGCGATGGGGCTGTGTCATATTCGGGGACAAGCTCATGTGGGGGTTTAATTCGAGACCCAGATGGGAGGTGCATCATGGTATTCTCAAGAAAGCTAGACCGTTGCTCTGTCATTAAAGCTGAGCTGTGGGCCATCACCCAAGGGCTTCGACTAATTCACCTTAAAAAATTGGGTACACACATTTTAATAGAATCAGATTCACTAGAAGCAATCACACTGCTAAGGAATGGTTGCCCCCGTCAGAATGAATGCTTTGACCTAGTTCAAGAGATATCAGAGTTAGCAGCTTCCTGTGAGACAGTTTCGTACCTCCATATTGGTAGGGAGGCCAACTTAGTGGCAGATCTCTTAGCTAAACAATGTAATATAGGAGAGGAGAATCTAATTATTTACGATTCGCCTCCTAATTTCATCTTTCGCGCTTTAGCTGCTGATTTGGCGGGTGTTATCTGAGTTTGTTTTGGGCGCTTAGCCCCCTTCTCCATAGTCCCACAGTTGCAGGATGACTTAAGGCTTGAGCGACGAACTTAAAGAAAAAAAAATTATATTATCAATCTACCTTTTCTTATTTTGATGCTCCTTTTGAATTATTAATAAAAAAAGAAAAAATATAGTGAAATATGCATATAATTAACAAAAAAAATGTTTATTAAGACTAATATTCAATAAATTCTAGCACTTATCACTTATAATAAAATTCCATCAAAATTCATTAAAATCCAAATTCAAAATCTTAATTAAAATCTGAGTTTTAAAAATATTTAATAAAGAATAATTCATGACATTTCTATAAAAAAAATTAAAATCCATAAAAATTCACAAAACATTTTCATATTAAAATTGTGTTTCAAAATCCTAATCTAATTCACCTTTGATCTTTTTTACCACCAAAATTTTCTAATGTCATAAAGTAGTTTTTGAAAATTAGCAGGTTAAAATTGAATTTGGTCGACAAATTATCAGTGAAAAAAACGACTCTTTTATGATTGCAGCATCATTACCTTTTGGTTTTCTCCTTTTAAGGATCCACAATATAGCTGTGTCACGGCTACCAGAAGGATTAAAACCCCGCTAATTGAGGCTATTAAAGGAATGGAAATGTTCCTTTTGTTGTTCTCGTTGCATTGACCAGATTCACGTAGATATGGATTTTGGCCCACAGTAGCATGGGAATCATAAAAGATTTATGTTTTAAGTCTCAGTAAACATACAAGCCATACATAATTTCAGTAGATACTTCAATTCATTCTGGTTGTGACTAGATATACAATAGTTCACATATAATGGAAAAACATAGGTAAGATCGTTGCTTTTAACATGAGATGTTAAAAAAATTCTTTTATAAGTAAAAGCTTAAATTTTAAAAGATTTTCAGAAATTGTGTTTGACAGTCTTTCCTTTTAAGGGGAGGAGAATCTCAAAAGGCTGGACCAAGGATGTTTGTGAATCACCGGTTTAAGTTCTTAATAGGTGTTTATCATGTAAACATTTATATACAAGTTTTTTTCATAATCAAAGAGAAATTGGGGTTGAACTACTTTCATATAAGTCCCAAGTTGTTTTCCTTGAATGTTGGAGATTTTATATTAACCGGCAATATGGAGCAATCCTTATCTCTTCGGTTAGCTTTTGAAGTTGAATAAAGCAAAACTCAAATTCTTTGATCGGGTTGAAAACATTTATGGATATATTTTAAGAGTTAATGACTTATACATTGTTAGTATAAAATTTTTTTACACTGACAACCAATTATATCTTTTAATTGTGTCATGTCACTGTAAACACATTTACTTTTAACAGTGACATGATACAATTAAAAGATATAATTAGTTATCAGTGTAAAAAAACTTTACACTGATAGTATATAGGTAATTAACTCATATTTTAAATTCATAAGGGCTAATCTCTATCAAATCATCCCCAAAACCGCCTAAAATTTAACTAATTAGTACCAGCATCATAAATAACCATATTATGAATTATTGAATTTGAGTTAGATTCATACCTTACTGAGAGGGAACCTTCCTTTGATTTGTCAACAAGTGCAGAGGTAATTGAACCGGAGAGGTTATTCTTCTCCAAGTTTCTGCAAAACACCGAAACTATAGTATCCTTTTCTTTTTCTGTTGCAGAGGATCACATATATAGTTCTTCCAATTAAATGACGAATTAACTTACAAGATCTTCAAGTACTGTAATTGAGACAGAAAATCAGGAACTTTACCGTTTAAGCTATTGTTTGATAAATCCCTGCAAAACAATTAACTTGCCCCTTTTATGTATTTTATATCTTAAAGCAAGTAGCAAAAGACTATTGACACACAAGTACATAGCAGAAAGAATATAAAGATTTAACGTAAGAGGCTTTTTCTGGTCTCATCAGTTATAATCTATTGGATCAGGTGGAAAAAAAACACTCGCAACTTCTCCAACATGATGAGCTTTGAAATTGAAGGGTCTATCTTTCCTGACAATCCATTTGAAGATAAATTCCTATTTTTCACAACCAATTGTAATATACGTTATCATTCCAGTTATATAAAGCTATAATATTAATTTGAGAAGCATGACTTACAATGTTGTGATTCTTGGGGAGTCATTTATGGGATAAGAACAATTCAGACCATGCCACAAGTAGGCTACAGGGGCGCATGGATTACCTTGCCAATCTCTTGTTACCCCATAAACTGATATGACGGTGGCAATCACACCAACTATTTTTTATTTTTTGGAATGTATAAAAAAAATTGAAAAAAGGAATTTAGATCACGTATATGAGTGAAGCAGAGAAATGGATTTGAGATATGAGGAAACATATTTTTTCTTGGCGTCAAATGTATATATGATATAAATGGTGTCCCATAGGCTGTGTTAACCAGACAGATTTGCACATAATCCAGATAAGGTACATGTATGAATCGTATACAGTGACTGTAACCCACCAATTAGTCCCAAGAAGAATATATTTTATGTCTGTCTTGGACTCAGTTTAGTTCGCATCTCCTGGAGCTCCGCACTCTACGCTGGTGAGTCCTAAAACATAAAAACGCATATAAGTGTAATGGGACTTGAGGCTTCAGCTAAACTTATGTTCCAAACCATTTAACACTTCAAATGGCTTCCATTCAATATATTTAAATCCACTAAATTACATGTAAGAACACAGGTAACAGAAATTAATTTCAACTTTATGTATTCAGTAGGGTAGGCTTCTTCCAAAATTCTCAACTTCCTTCTCTCTAAAATTTATTTCAACAAAATCAAATACAAATATAATTAAATAAATGTTTTTATATAAATAAATAAAATAATATAAACACTAATCAATTTATAAAAAAAATTATAATATCAATACTAATAAATATTACATTTTATACATATATATTAAAATAAATATATAAAAAAAATTTAAAAATGGATTAAACTATTATGATAATTAGTAATCATTATTAGATCTCCACAATAGTATAAAATAAAATGTTATTGAAAATAAATATATCAAAATTAAAGGAAAAAACTTGAATAAAAGTATTTTAATAATTAAAAAAACAAATATATAATTAAAAATATATTTTCCATCAATGCATGAAAATAATATTTTTTAACAAAATAATAGTTTTCCAAAACTCCTTCTAAATAAATCAAAATAAAAAGAAGAAAATAAATATTATGTATATGTTATATTATTATCAAAACAGATATTTTTAATAATTAAAATAAATGAATATATCAAAAACTTTATTAAATGTAAAATCCATGTTATTTATTAATAATTAATAATTACTACTAATAATAATAAGTTGTTGTAATCATTATAACTTTGACTTTGAAAACATCAAATTTAATATATATTTTTTAAAGAATATATTTATTATAGATTTGTTAGGGTTTCTATGAGTAGAATGAGATGAAAATGGATCTTAATTGGGGGAAGAACCCTCTTAGCATAAAAATTGCGAACTCTCTCCTTCCCTTGAATTTGTTACTCTTATTCCTTATCCTTTTATGACTTAAAAATTATTTTATTTTTTTACTATGAATTTTTCTTTTTATTTATATATTGTGAAATTAAGATTTTTTTATATTTAAAAAAAAATTAACATAAGACATTGTAGTATCTAATTTTTTAGGGTTTAGGATTTATGCTTTCATTAGCTTATTTTTTAAAAAAAGAAATATTGTTAAAATATTTGTTAGAATAATTTACATTTATAAATATCGTTAAAAATT